ATTTTGAAGAGTCAGCCAAACAGAAACATAAATGGATGATATGCTTTGGTAAATTAGGGAACAAGGGGGGAATACTAAAACACTGTTTAATCCCTCATATTGTGCAGAGCTCACTTCTGAGTGTGAATCGTATGGGAGAAGACAGGAGGGAGAAAAAAGCTTAATGAGGGATTCAGGACACAAAGTAATTGAAGAGTACTTAATTTAAGTGTTCAAGTCAAAGACAGATAATGTTATAAGGTAGCATCTCCTAAAAGAGATGAAAGACTAGGAATAAGGTAAGGAACCTAGGTGAAGAATGACAAAGGCCAGGGGCAGCTAGGTGGCGCAGTGGATAGAGCACCCGCCCTGAAGTCAGGAGGATTCAGTTCAAATCTGACCTCAGACCAAACATTTAACACTTAATAGCTGTGTGATCTTGCACAAGTCACTTAACCCCGATTGCCTCACTTAAAAAAAAAACAAAACAAAGAATGGGAAAGGTCAACCATTGAAGAAATATGGGCAAATTATGTTCCAGGGACATCTATTCCAGAATCAATCAGGCCAGCTGCTAAAGGCCAAACCACCAGTCACTGGAAACAAGAGTACAAAGCAATTGGCAGCTTCAAGTATGAAACTAGTAGGAAGAATAAGTATTTCCATGTGGTCTGAAAGGACTTCCCACTTTAAAAAAGTAGACTTTTCTTGCTCGAGATAAAACTACCTGCCAAATCCTACAAAATCTACAAAATTCTACAAAATCTAGCAGATATTTGCTGGATAGCCAGCCAAAACTAGTTGGGGAATCCAGTTAGAAAGTCTTAAGACAGGACAGTGGGATGGGGTGGAAGGGGGATAATGAGTGGAAGAGGAATTGTAGAGAGTTCAAGAAGAGAAAACTGCATAATCTGAGGCCTGATTGATAATCTATCATCAGCCTCCTTTGATTCTTCCTGCCCTTTTTTTGCACGTTAAAATTAATATTTATTTTTTCCAATTAACAAACATTTATTTTCTCCACCTCCTACCTTCCCCCCCTCTCCCCAGGAAGAGCAAAACTCTTGCAATGAAAAAAAGAAAAAATAAAACTTAGTTTTGCTTAGTTAAGCAAAACAAACTGTCATATTGTCCTAATTGGAAAATGTGTCCCATTTACACCCAGAGTCTTTCATCACTCTGTTGGGAAGTGGGTAGCATTCCTTAGCATCAAAACTCTGGAATCATGCTTGGCCATTGCATTGATCTGAGTTGCCAAGTCTTTCAAAGTTGTTAATTTTTAAAATACTGTTAAAATTTAAATTTTTCTCCTGGTTCTGTTCACTTCCCTTGCATCAGTTCATATAAATCTTCATAGGTTTCTCTGAAACTGTCTCCATTTCTTATGGAACAACCATTACATCCACATACTCTCATTTGTTCATTTTCCAGTTCAGGGGAACTCCTTTAGTTTTCAGACATCTAGGTGGTGCAGTGGATCAAGTGCTGGGCCTGGAGTCAGGAAAACTCATCTATGTGAGTTCAAATCCTGCCTCAGGCACTTACTAGTTGTGTGATAAGCCATTTAACCCTGTTTGCCTCAGTTTCCTTATCTGTAAAAAGGGGGGGAGAAGGGAAATGGCAAACTACTCCAGTATCTCTGCCATGAAAACCCCAAATGGGGTCATAAACAGTAGAATAAGACTGAACCACTCTTGGTTTTCAGTTCTTTGCTACCACAAAAAGAGCTGTCATAAATATTTTTGTACCTGTGGATCCTTTCCCTCTATTTTTTAAAAAAAAATCATTATAATCATTTTATCATGTTGTTTTTTTTTTTGTCATTTAGTAGTTGTATTACCCCCCATGTTCTTCCTAGGAACACCAGAAAATTCATATAAGGGTCTTGGATTAGAGCTCAGGTAGGAGCTGTTGGAGCTCTATCATAGAATAGACTCCATTTTTCACAAACCACATGGAAATCCTGAAGAGAAAGCCTTCAGGTTTGGAAACTCGTAGAAAATCATTCTCAGTCATTAATGATCTTCCTCCCATTCCATCCTTAACTCTCTGCAACGTGGTTTCTGACCTCATCACTCCTCTAACACTGCTCTTTCAAATTTACCAATTGCCTCTTAATTGCCAAAGCTGACAGTCTTTTTTCTGTCTGTGCTGTGTCTGACATTATTGGCTTCTGTTTCTTCTCTGGGCTTTTGTGACACTTCTCTCTCCTGGTTCTCTACTGTCTGACTGGTCCTCTTCAGTCTCCTCTGCCAGTTCATCATTCATAACATGCCCTGTAACTGTGGGTGTTCCCTAAGGCTCAGTCCTAGGCCCATCATTCACCCTACATACCCTCCCGGTTAATTTATCAGCTCCATCGGCTTCCTTGTCATTTCTATACCCATAACTCTTAAACTTACGTGAACTGCTCCAGTCTTTCTTCTGAGGTTCAATCACTATTTTGTTGAAGGAACCTCATTCTTCCCATCTCTTGGATTCCTCACTCTCCCTAATCCTACATATCCAATTAGTTATCAAATCGTGACATTTCTACCTCTGCAACATTTCTTACATCTGAGCTTTTTTCTCTGGGGAGGCTTGGAGTTGCTAAATGCCCTACCCAACTGAGGTCAAACAGCTAATTAATGTTAAAGCTGGAGCTTTAACCCAAGTCTCCCAGGTCAAACTTCTTTCTACAACACCACAGAGCCTTTATGTTTGTTGAATGAATAAAGCAAAATCTGCTGGCTGCTTCTTTAACTGGTGGAAGTATACCTCTTCAAGGTGGAATGGTCAGTAACCTATAATGGTGTATATCAAGAAAACAGTAAGTAATGGCAGTTTCATCAGTTTACAATCCTTGCTCAATCAATAAATGAAGGTGGGTTAATTTCCACATTTCCAAACTAATAAAAAAAATGATCACTGGCTACATACAGCAAAAGGGGAAGACCAGTCCTGGACTTGAACAACTCTGCTGTGTTTATCTGAGAATTAAACTTTACACTGTTGTGATTTATGAAGACCAGAGGAAAATGAGACATGTTTCTTTAAGGGATTACAAAAATCACAGTTTAAACTAGTGAATTCTCTGGCCTCTCAAAAATGGTCTTTAAGTCTGAGAAAAGCCTGGCATCACTTTCCACTGTCTTTAAAAGAGAAAGTTAAAGAAACAGTCCCCTCCCCAGCAAAGAAAAGACTATCCCAATGTACAGAAGCAACCTTCCTGTCTTCAGAGCTGGGATTTCTTTTTCACAAATCACTAGACAAAGTCTGGAAATTGAGCATCCATTCAATTCAACGAGTGTTTCTTAAATGCCCATGACGTTGAGTACAAAATACCCCTACTTGAGGGTGTTGCCCAAGGCTCAGTCCTAGGCACACAACTCCCCCTCCACACTAGGCTAACTTATCAGCTCCCATGGGCTCAATTGTCATTTCTACACCGATAATTCTTAAGCCCCAGGCTTTTCTCGGAGAGTCTGCGCGGGTGACAAAGACAAAAAGGAAACGGCCCCTGCCCTCACGAAGCTTAGGATCCACAGGCCTTGGATAAGAATCTACCGTGGAAATGCGGCTCGGTCAGAACCCAATACCTGGGCCTCAAGGGGGAGGATTTAGCTGGGCCAGGCGACCAGGGCCGGACGGAGGGGAAGGCCCCGCCATGTCTCGAGGTTCCCCGCCGGGAAGGCCACGAAGGTCAGGAACTCGAGTGGCAGGCGGCTGGACGGGGCCTCAGAGGGTCCTAGGTAAGGGGCCACGACCTCTCCGCGGGTCTCGCGTGGGAGGCCAGAGTGCCCCGCGGGGACCCCGCTGGGCCCCCAGACTCACCTCGGCCGTAGCCCTGCGTGTGCTTGGCGAAGCTCCTCACTACGGCCTCCACGGCCTCGCGCAGCACGGCGGGGCTGCCCGCGGCGCCGGGGGGCAGGGGGAGCCCCGCGGCCCCGGACAGCAGCAGAGGCGGCGGCGGGGGGGCCGGCGGCGGTGGCGCCGGCTGGGGGCCCCCCGGGGGGCTGGCGGCGGCGGCGGCGGCGGCGGCGGCGGCCCCGGTCACTCCGGGCCGCAGAGCTCGCAGAGTGCCCATCCCGCCGCCGCCGCCGCCCACTCCGGGCTGCAGTCGCTGCGCTCGCATCGTCTCCATCCAGGCTGACTCCCACAGTGCCCAGCCGCAGCCCAGAAAACTCCTGAGCCGTCCTCTGGGCTCGAGCTAACGGTCTACGAGGTCTGGGACAGCTTGGGCCGCGCGCCTCGGGGCGGGGGCAGCCGTAAGGGCTCTACTGGCTGTCAGTCATGAAGGGGCGGGGACGAGCCGGCTCTGTGCCAATCACAGCCAGGGGGCGGGAGGAAAAAGCCTGCCTCCCCACGGCAGGCAGACTACCACAGTGGGTGGAGCTAGTGCGGTAGCCATTCGAAGAGAAGAAAAGCGGATTCTCACCAATAGGAATCCAGGCGTCTTCGAGGAAGGCGGGTCAAAATCTGGACGCCTCCAAAGAGGATCTGTGTTAGTGGGCGAAGGGAGGCGGGATCAGGCGGAAGCGAGCAGCTGTGAGACCGCTAGATTCTAAAGCATCCGCCCATTTTGACCCTTCTTGGGGGCTGGCGGCTGCTGACGGTCTTTGCTTCGCCGTCTCTTCCTTTGGTGGAGGTGGGGACAACATCTGGATGGATTTACAGTTAGGCCCCGAGATCCCAAGACTTGGCCCCTAGCGTCCGCTGGGCGTCCGGCCAGAAAGCGGGATTCTTCTGGGTGCCCGGACTCTAGCACCTCCCGGTTAATTGATGCAGTCTTACCCGGCTGGGTGACATCAAGTCCTGCTGGCCCCTCGGGGAGCCTTCTGGAGGCAGAGAGGCTCTCGGGAGCCGAGGGAAGCGCGGAGGTTGCAAGCAGGGACCACACAAGGACCAGGATGACCGTTTAAACTCCAGGCGGAACCCCCTGAGTACCTCGGGGGAGGGGGCGGGGGAGAGGGCGGGGGAGAGATGTAGGGGAGGGGGAATAGAACAGGTATCTCTGGAGGTTACCCGGTCGGACTTGCCTGCCTGGGTTTGTGTAGGAAGTGAAGTCCAGGCGGAGAGGCTGAGGACCCTTGCTGGGTGGGGAGGGGCGGTGTCCGTGAAAGTGGTTTGATATCCTCAGATCAGTGGATCATTAAGCGTGTTAAACAAAGTGGTGAAGTAGAAAGAGCCCGGGAGGCAACTAGATCTTGGACGAATTCATTCCTGTTTATTTACTGATGGAATCATAGGCCAGTTCTTCAGTCTCTCCAACTCAGTTTCCTCATCTATAAAATGGGTATAACAGTTGCCCTACGTTTCTCATTGCGTTGTTTTGATGTAAAAAGCACTTTGTTTACCTCTGAGCACTAAATCCATATGTTCTATCCTTATCTTTAGGTGAATCTGAGATAGCTAGATCCTAGGGATCCAAAGGAAAATAAGAGGAAAGAACTGAAATTTCAAGATGAGGAAATGAAAGTTGTTAGCGTTTCCTCTACCACCATTGCAGGGCTTTCACTAATCTTTATGTTATGATCTTTAAGTTATGATCAAGATTAGATTCAGTATTGCCCAGCCCTTTCCCTCCTCCCAAGTGAGTGGAAAGACGTGGTTGAAACTTCTGAACACCTTTATTTTGATATGTCCAGAGGGGGATTCAGATCACTGCCCTCCTCTGCCTTAGAGAGGACAGAAGCTCACATGAAAGAGCAGTCTGGACTGCATGCCCCACTCCTCCTGGGAAGACAAGACAACCTGATATAATGAATTGATTTGGGGTAAGGGAGTATCTGGTCTATTGGAGGCAAAGAGGGAAGAGTTGAGGGAACAATGAGGGGAGTGGCAGAGCTGGGTGCCTCAAGAGGTTCCCTCCCAGACGGAGAACTCAGGGGTGAGAAAGCAACATTTTCCCGAGTTGTGTGGGGTGTGGAAGTCGGGAAGGGAGAGCAGAGGATCAGAGAACCCAGAGAACCTAGTAAGTAGGTTAAAGGGGATCCCAAAAGAGTCAAGACATTTCCACTGGGATTGGGTGTGTAAATAATGCATTATAGGGCATGTGCCACTGTACTTAATAAATAGAAATAAATAATTGCAAGCACAAGAAGGTAAAGGATCGTGGAGGGTTTTCTTTTGGGGGGAGGGGTGTTAGGTTAGGCACTAGTCATTAGCAGGTAACGTCACTGCCAGTGAACAAGTGCAAATATGTTTGGGGGCCCTTGTGCCAATGAGCACCTTTGACCTTATGGTGCATGCAAGTGCATAGTGCCTGTGAGTTCCTGCTGATCCCACATGCAAGTGCATGGTTGCATCAGCCACACACACAACCCCTATATATGCGTGACTACCCAGTACATGTGAGAAGCCTGGTGACCTTTCAGGTAAAGTGCTCTGTGCCCGTGAACATGTGCATCTCTGCAAAGAGTGCACTATGCAGTGCCTAGGAGCAACATACAAGTGGCCTCTAGTGTGTGTGCATGGTGCATTTGAGCTGGTGGCCTCACCTGCCCTGCCATAGCCTTGTCCACACCATTCCAAGCTCCTCTTAACCCCTCAACGCCCTTGTTCTCCTGGTCCCCCTAGACTCTGGAACCCCCCTAGCTGTCTGATCTGCTCTGTCTGCATGGAGTGGCGTCTCACTAATTTCCGCTTGGCTCTGGGAGACCCAAGGCCCCCGGAATAATGGGGAGCAGGGAGGGATGGAGCCCGACACCCTGGCAGAGGTCGAATGTCTGGGATGGGAGGGTGGGGACTGACATTGAGTGGTGGCAGGAAGCCTGGCCGGGTATGGGAGATGTGGTCCAGGAGCAACGTCCCAGAGCCCCTCCGTTCCAGCAGCCCAGGACTCCGTCTCCGCCCACTCAGAGGAGACACCGCCCCCGGAAGGCTCTCTTGAGACTGCCCAGGTGAAGGAACTGAGCTGGCCTGAGGGAGGGTGAGTGGGGAAGCGCTGTACCGGCGGCGCTCATGAGACAAGCGACTAGAGTCCACAGAGTCAGTGCATAGGTGACTGGGGCCGTCTACCTCCACCGGCTCCATGCGGCTCAGCTTCTGCTTCAGCCCGGGCAGGGGAACCGATTCCTGGGCCTCTGGCGCCGTGTTGCGCCGGGAAAGGGCCCCTCCACCTATCACTTTTTCAGCCCACGGGGGTGTTTCCTCAGGCCCCTCGGTGCTGTGGCGCCGAGAGAGCCGAGGTCGACTAGTCAGCGCCAGGCCGTTAAATTCGGCAATCAATCGGTCAGTCGCTGGTCGCCCCTCGGCTGGCGGGAGCGGTTGAGGGGCGACTAGTCCCCAAGGCTCGGAGTTGAGCCTCTTGAGTGGTTTAGGTGGAGGGTGGCGGGGCGGTTTGGGGAGGGGTTCGGAAGAAGCGGGGTCGTCTGGGGGCTTAGGGAGGGGGAATTCGAACACGTCTCGCTTCTCCTCCTCCTCTTGCGCCCGGGGAGACAGCACTGCTTTTCCTCCCCCTCCAGTCTGCAGTTGGATTTCCGAAGGCGACATGCAAACCCCTGGGCTTGGGACTGGGGTGGGCGGGTCTTCGACCCCCGGCGAGGGAGGAGAATTGAGATACTGCCGGGTCTTCTTAGTGCCCGATGGCGAAGTGTCCGTAGTAATGATGATGACTTCTGTGCCCTTGGCTTTGCAGGCTTCCAGCAAGGCTGAGAGGGTCTCGCGATCACCGCGGTCCAACGCGTGGACTAGAGCTGAGGCGCCAGCGTGGTCGCGGGCCGACGGGTCCGCGCCGTGGGCTAGAAGAAGGGTGGCTACTGCAGCTCCTCCACCGCCGGCGCAGGCGTGCATGAGAGCCGTGCGCCCCAGCCGGTCGGCTATGTTGGGGTCAGCGCCCTGCTCCAGTAGGTAGCGTACCATGCGGGCCCGGTTCTCGGGGTCGTCGTAGCGGGCCCGACAGGCAGCCATCAGTGCAGTCTCCCCCTGCGCGTCGCCCTCATTCACGTAAGCACCTCCCTCTAAGAGCAACCGAGTCAAGCGCAGCTTCCCCTGCCCCACTGCCCGCAGGAGAGCGTGCCCCTCGGCGTGCAGCATGGCCAAGGTGGTGGATGGGAGAAAGGCAGCGGCTGAAACTACCAGAAGAAGAGGTGGAGAGGGAGATGCGGGACAAGGATGGGGACAGTGCCTAGAGGAGGACTGAGGCTCAGCAGCTACGGTGCTCCCTGTCAGAGAGATAGACCAACATTGACAGACACAAGCATAGAGACAAGACAAGGAATCATAGAGATACAGAGATTTGGAGTGGGTCACCGTGGCACACAGTTCCGTCCTCTGCCCCATGCCACTATGCCCCCCTAAATGCTTGTCTGAAAAAAGAGCTCGCGTGCACCCGCCTGCGATGAATGCTCGTGCAAGTGCGTGTGTGCACGCGCGGGAATGTCCGCACCCCAACCTTCACCCTCAGCCCCCGAGCCATTTCCAGCCACCGATTTTCCCCATCCTCTCTCCAAAATAGCTCTTGCCAGAGCGCAGACCTCCCCTCAGTAGCACCACTTCCCCCTTCCCACGCGCACACCCATACATTCCCAGTGCCTTCCCCCTTTCCTCGGAGCCACAGCTCTGGGAGGGGTCGCGGCTCGGGTCCAAGGGTCTTAAACTGGAAGAGGGAAGAGTCCAGAGTTCCCCTTTCTCCAGTTGTGTTCCCTATCTCCCGCTCCTTGTTCCCCTCCCAGGCGGTGTGCCCAGATACCTGTATGTCCGCAGAATCTCCTCCCGGCCAGGGCCTGGGTTGGGACCCGGACCAGGGTGCAGTCTGGGTGAAGAAGCCGGGTCCTTAAGCACCCACATGGTGAGGGTGGGCTTCTGTGGCCCCCACTGTATCTGTGCTCGAGCCTAGGTTCCACTGCTCCAGATCCCTCCTCCCGTGCGCCCCGGGCGCAGCGCCGGCTGGGGGGGGGGAGGCGGAGCTCGACAGAGCTATTTATAGACGTGTCTCTGCGGGTGGGGGTGGCAGGCACCAAATCTGCTCCTTTCCCAATCCCCCATAAAAACCCCAGAAAACAAAACCCACTGCCCCAGGTTTTCTAAGCCTGACTAACATATCTTAGCCATTTAAACCTAGCTATTTGTAGAATCCAGTCCTAAGTTGGGTATCTCTTCTCTCCCTAGCCCCATCAGGGCTGCCTGCACAAATTCTAGCTAGGCTTCCCCAGCTACCAATTTCCAGGACTTGACGTGTTGTGGCTGTGGGCTATACCTGACAAGTCACACGTGACACAATCACACTCTCAAAGGTTGTTGGACCCAGACATCGTAAATCCAAGTTCTATGAAAAAAGGAGACCAAGAGCTCTGCTTAATGTGTCCATATTTGGTCTATAAAAGACCCCAGCACAGAGCTCTGGTGTCTGGTGTATGCCCTTCCTTCCTAAAGGGAGCACAAAGTTACAGACATGTGGAACTCAGCCCTTCCGGGTTGGTCTCTTAGCCAGAACTAGGGAAGGTAGGTGTGGACGATGGTTGTTTTTTGGACACAATAGAGTAAATCTTTCATTCCTTTCCTCTTTTTCTATCTCGGGGTGGGGGGCGGGAAGGAGGAGACAATGAGGCAAACGGAGAGGCCGAAAGCAGTCTATGTATTAAAAGGTTTTTATCTCCCTTTGATTCTGTACTTCTTCCTCCTTTGTACTTTGTCAATCTTCCTGGCCATCTCCCTTTGCCTTTTTTTCTCCTATCTCTCCCTCTGTCTCTGTCTCTCTGTGTCAGTCTCTGTCACTGTCTGTCTCTTTCTCTCTGCCACCTGCCCTGTCTCCATGGTTACCATGACTCCCATCTGTGCTGTTTGGGAGTAAGTATGTGTCCAGCTGGGAGGTAGCATGGAAAGTGGGGGATTTGGGGAGGATCTATGGGACTTGGAGAGATTCACATGGTCCCTAGAGCAACTGGGGGAGGGGGCTGGTAGTGATATTAAAAAAAAAAAAAAAAAAACAACACCAGGACTGAATGTTAGAGAAGAGGAGTCATTCCCCAGCTCAATTTCACCCTTAGGAGTCCACTACTATTCTCACTCCCCAGACAAGTATTCTTGTGTCTAACTTCCAGTTTCAGTCTAAGCTCTCTATTCATCATTCATAGAGAAGGAGAATAGTAGGAACCCCCTTGGCCTTAGAATAGTCCTTTATGCATGTCCAGAAAAAGCAAGAGAGCAGTGGGAAACAGACTGGGAACCCGGGAGTCCTGGTTCCCTAATCTTCAATCCCTCTGTTCCCCCTCTCTGTTCCCAGCTCTCACCGACTCTGCAGCAACCCACAGAATGGTATTTTTAGTAAGGAAGTGAGGGGGGAGGATTCAGTACGTGCAGAATTTAGAGAAAGAAGGGTGGTATATAGGAAAGGAGTAGGGCGGGAGGCGGGACATTCTGCAGCAGCCCGCACAGCAAGACTTATCTCTGAAGGGCTGATTTCTAGGAGACTCCTTGGGGGAGGCCCACCCTGAGGGAGCTCTTTTAATTTTGTGATATTAGGGCAACTCTTGGAGCTCTTCGCTTTTTTCAGAGCTCTCACATTCTGGAGCTCCTCCACCACGGTCTCATACCGAAATAACTTGACCCCACTGTCTCAGTCCCCCAGTCTTTTCACCGTTCTCAGTATGCCTGGATTCCCAAAGCCCACACATATCTATTACTACTCACGGCCCTGCCTCCTTATCTGCATGTGTGCGGACGCCCCGCCCGGCTCCTCTTCCATTGGTTCTGAGAACTCACCAATAGGGATGGCAGAGAGGTGGGCCTAGAACCCAGCGGACTGGCTGACCGGACGCAGGCTTGGCGGCTGCGTGGGTACCGCGTGGGGGAGGGGTTCCAGGTAAGAACTGAACCGAGGCTCCACGGTACCTGGCCCGCTGCTCGGTCTGTTTCACCCCTGGCCGGCTCGCAGGCTCTGGGACAGAGGGAGGGCCGAAGCAACCACGGGTCAGCTTTCTCCAGCCGCCCGACTGCCCCCCCTCAACTTCCCCCCCCCCCCAGCTCCCTACCTCCCAATATGTGTGTGTGCGCGTATGCGCGCGCGGGTGGTCCGGGTGTTGGGGGTGGAGAAAGAATGTGTGCCGCCGTGTGCGTGTGTGTGCATGCGTGTGCGCGTTTTGTGAGAGGCACCCAGCAAAGACCTACTTCGTGTTGGGAGGTTTACCCTCTTTCCTTTGCCCAATAGAAGATTCACATAATATCATGAATTTAGAGTTGGAAGGGACATCAGACTTCAGTTAGTTTAACCACGTTTTACAGATGAGTAAACTGAGGCAGAGGTTAAATGACTTTACCAAGCCACCAGGGGAGGAGGTAGTAGAGTTATGATTTGAACTCCTGCTCCGTGACACCAAATCCAGCACTCTTCCCCTCCGACCAGAAGCTCTCCCTGGTTGCCCGAGCAACCTGGACCTCTCTTATCTTCTTCTTTTGAAAGACAATCGTCCTCGCCCTGGACCAATCCAATATCAGACCATGGAATAACAAGATCTAAAACTATCAGGATTTCACAGATGAGGACACTGAAAAGCAAGTTTGAATTCGAACTCAAGTCCTCTGACTCAAAGGCTCTTGCCATCTACATGCCTTACACTAAGCCAGTTGCAGGGATTCAGAAGAATCGTAAAATACAGCCTCCGACCTCTGGGACATTACAGTCTAATTGGAGGGACTCGATTGAAATGAATGAAACAATTAAAAGCCATTAGAGACATAAAATCTTTAGAAACAGCATATAATCAAGAACCATCTTTTGTGATTCAGACTAAATGCAGTAATGGGGCTGGAGGCAACAGTAAAGATTATTAGTATTAGGGAATAATGACAGACTAGTTTGGATAGGTAAAGTGGGTTGGGATTGTGGAGGTCCTTACCTGAATTAAGAATTAAACCTTTAGGGCAAAGGTGTCAAATGTGAGACCCAAGAGAACACTGCCTGGTGCTGCCTGAACTGAATTAAAATGTAATTAGGAAATATTTAACAAAAAATAAAAATGCAATAGAACATAGATAATGTTAATATATGGTTTCCTAAGTCAATTTGTGGCCTGTAAGGATCCTTATGTATATATGGTTTAGTGCCCCCATGTTTATTTGAGTTTACACTAAGATACTCTAAGACTATAAATTATGGAACAGTTACTGGTCTGCATAGGTAAAGGGAATTTCCTACCCTGCTGAAACTGAAAGAAGCCCTCTCCCCAAAACCAAGCAGCAGCACAATCATAATCACCAACGATAGCCGATATTTCTGTAGCCCTTGAAGGCTGTTTTGCAAAGGACTGTGATATACATTATCTCATTTGATTCTCACAGCCCTGTGAGAATATGTTCCAAAAACAGAGGCCTAGAGAGGAGGCATTGCTCCTTGGAAGGAGTACTCAATCTGAAGTCAGAAGACCTGGGTTCAAATTCTGACTCTGATACTATTTGTGTGGCCTTGAGCAAGTCACTTCATGAGACTCAGTTTCCTCATCTATAAAATGAAGGGAGGGAGGGTGAACTTGTTAGCTTCTCCAGTCACTTCCTGCTCTAAAGCATTTATTCTATGAAGGAAACTGTCTGGCTAGTAAATATAGTAAATAGTAAATATCAAAGCTAGAATCTTGAATACAGTGCTTTTTCCACCATTCGTGAATTGAAGATTGGAAGCAAAGAGGCCTAGTTAGAGGGCTATTGCAGTAATCCAGGCCTAAGTTGGTAAGGGCTTCAACTGAGGGGGCAGGAGGAGCAAGAGAGGTAGATGTGAGATATTACAAATAAAAATGTCAAGGACTTGGTAATAAACTGGATATAGAAGGCAAGGGGAAAGGGCGGGATTAAAGAGCGCAGGTAGCGATGTGATATGGAAATATAATTTTTTGCTGATTCTGGGATAAAGAAAAAAAAATTCAACATTCAGGAGGCAGGCAGATTTTAGATGAGTGGGTGGTAGGTCGAGGAAAAAGCCAATGGAGTACTTGGAACCAAAGGCCATTGGCTGTCAGCATAGTGGGGGACCTCATCAGTCTCACATTGTGTCTTCATTTTTCTCTTTTTTATCAGGCTTCGCCCATCTGATCTCTAAACGGCCAGGCCCCGCCTACGATGGCCAGCCGGGGTGGGGGCCGGGGCCGAGGCCGGGGTCGAGGTCAACTGACCTTCAACATGGAGGCTGTGGGCATTGGGAAGGGGGATGCTCTGCCCCCTCCCACCCTCAAGCCCTCCCCACTCTTCCCTGTGAGTGCTCATACTTCACTAAGACTAGTCATTCTATCCTGGCAGTAATCAGCTCTTCTCTCTCATGACTGCCCATAGAAAATCACAGAATCCTAGAAGTTGTCTGGGCCCTCCTGAAATCCTTTTCATCCTCCTTTCTCTATATATATATTCTCCAAGGAAGGAAATAACCATGTTTTATCTTGCTATGTCCCTAGACTCCCCATACTTTTTAGGGTATCCTTGTAGAGAACCAATCTCTCTCCTGCTGTAATCTTACCCCCATATCTTCCAACACTACAGACACATATAAACATACATACATGCCCACATTCCCCTCATCCTTTGTTTTACACTCTGTGGTGGTGAGGAAAGAAGATCCTCCTTTCTCCAGATAGTTCCTGCCATACCCCTCAAATCCAGCACCACCTTCCCACTCCAAAGAGCTATCCTGTCATCTCCAGCCCTAACCACGCTGACCCCTGCCCTTCCTGCTCTCACCTAGCCCCTGGAATTCCGTCCAGTGCCACTGCCCTCTGGAGAAGAAGGTGAGTATGTTCTTGCACTGAAACAGGAGCTACGGGGGGCCATGAGGCAGCTTCCCTACTTCATTCGTCCAGCCGCACCTAAGAGAGGTAAGTTGGAATTCCACTCTTTTGTCTTAAGTAGGTCCAGTGTATATAGCAGCCCTCCATCAGGCCATAGGTAGAGAGACAAAGGAAAGAGACAAATATAACAAAGAAAAGAAACAAATACATATAGCTATAGGTGTAAATATAGATATACACACATATGTGAAACAAATACATAGATCTATATATACATACACACATATGGACGTATTGTGTCTCCAGTGCCTATAGTTGTATGTGTATATATGTATATTTTTACATACACACTTTAATGAGAATGATACAATCCATAGCCTTGAAGACCTCATGATCCAAAGGAGAATAACACAGAGTCTTTGTCTTTGGAGTGCCCTCAGCCTAGTAAAGGAAAAGTCACATATACATAGGAAACAAGTTTAAGACTACAAAACGCCCTAGTTCAATACTTGGTTATCCATAGGCATGGAGGAGAGAAGAGGCATGTCTGAATCAAAATGGCAGCTAATCCCTAGTGTTCCCTTGGGCATTGGCACACATTATATTTTATAGAGTAGATTTCTTTCCTTAATTAAGCTGTAGACTGATAATAAATGTAGTTAGTGTTCTCTGAGCACACATGGAACGATAATGTAGAGAGGCGTCCCAGGCATGTGCTAGGTGGGGCAGGCTGAATCCTTCCTGAGTACCGAAATTGACTGTTCACATAAATCAGGAGTTGGTTATGTAGACTAGAAATTGAGATACAGTTCTTCTGAGTGAATGGGGGGAAAAGGGGCCACCAAAGAGTAGACAAAGAGTACTTAGAACTGAGTAGATTTGATTATTCTTGGAAGACTTGTGTTTTAAGCCAGGTTCCCTAAACAAGGAGGGAGGAATTTTGGCAAGCTTGAGTAGGACATTCCAGGAGATATTTAGGAATGAGTCAAGACATTAGGAGCATGTTAACCTAGTGGGAGTACAGACATACCCCTTCGTTTCCCCCCATAGTGCCTTGTACAATGTTCTGTAGAGTGTAGCTGATCAATAAATATTTAATGAATAAATGAATGAGCAGAATCTTTGTTGGGGGAGTAATGAAAAATGATACTGGTGACTTTGGAGAATTAGTAGAAGAGCCTTTAAGTCTATTTCTGAAGCTCTGAGTGTGATCAGGATAGAGGACAGAGTGCCTAGGTGCTATGGAAACGTTGTCCCCAGGCACCACCACTCTGTTCGGGGGCCTCGAAGGGAAGAAGCCTCTGATGCCTGCTATTTGATTCTTCAGATGTGGAGCGTTATTCAGACAAGTATCAGATGTCAGGGCCGATTGACAGTGCGATCGATTGGAACCCTGGTATGTGATGGACCCCCTCAAAAGTCCCCAGAAATCGCCCCCATTCTTCCAAACACTCTTTAGCTCTCCTCAAACCCTCCCAGATATTCAGACACTTCCCCACAAACTCATTAGCCAACTGAGTGCCTTATAAACCTATCCCCCTCATATTCCCAAATCCTTGTGGAACATACCTCCCCGTGCCCCCTGTCAGCCATTTAACAATAGAAGACCCAAGTCTGGGGCCTACTGACCTCTGTCTCCTTCCCACTTTCCCCTAGATTGGAGGCGTCTTCCCAGAGAGCTCAAGATACGTGTTCGAAAACTACAGAAGGAACGTGAGTGCTGCTACATGACACAGGATGGGGGTGGGGGAACAAATGTTCCCCCCTCCAGCCTCCTGCAGGCTTCTGGAGAGCACCGAAATAGCTGACTGCCCGGCCCTTTCCCTCCCTCTGCCCCCATACAGTCTGTTCTATCGGCCACTCAGGGGCAGCAGAGTTCCATTGTTGAAGTGGCTTCCTAGTCATGAGCTGGGAGGAGGGAGCGAAGGCAGAGCAGAAATCTCAACCTGATGTTCCATTTTCTCCTTCCTCCCCTTCCCCCACCAGGGACAACCATCCTGATCCCCAAGAGGGCCCCTAAGACCCCAGTAGAGAAGGAAGAAACCATTCAAAAACTGGAGGTGAAGAGTGTGTGTGTTTTTGTGTGTGATCTGTAGGGGTCTGTCCATACTCTGATTTTGCCCTCTGGGGGCTGGGGCTAAATCTTTCTCTTGTTCACTCCTTTTCTTCTTTTCTCTTCCCCCGAAAGACCTTAGAGAAGAAGGAAGAGGAAGTGACTTCAGAAGAGGAAGAGGAGAAAGAAGAGGAGGAGAAGGAAGATGAGGAGGAGGAGGAGTATGATGAAGAGCATGAGGAGGTGAGAGAACGTCCCTCTTCACCAGATCCCCTTTTCTTTCCCTGCCAAAGGGTCCCAGGGTGCCTCAGACGGTTGGGGAGACCGGGTTCTAGAGAAATTCAGTCACCTGGAAGGACTGAAGCTGAAATAATGCAAGCATTTCTAAAAATTACTGTTCTTCTATTCAGTTATCTCATGCTTTTTTTCTAAGAGGTAGCTGTGGGTGGCCTCAGTGAAGCCTGGAATGACAGATGAAAGTGGGGAGAGTACCCCCTCACTCTTCCCTTTCACCTTTTCTCTGCCCCTTTCAGGAGACAGATTACATCATGTCGTATTTTGACAATGGAGAAGACTTTGGGGGTGACAGTGATGATAACATGGATGAAGCAATTTACTGAGGAAAAGCATTGGGTATCTCCCACTGCCCCAGCCTTCTCAGCTCTAGGGATTGGGAGACTGTTCTAGCCATCTGTGGTCATGGGCACACCATCCTTCTAAACCCGGCCAGAGACAGGACATTGCCTCCTTGAGGGGAGGAGCAGGAGGGCCTAGTGGCTACGGATAGCTCTCTTCCCCCAATTATGGTGGCTGGACCTTACCTCTGTTGCTTTGGAGCAGAGGTAAAGGACTGAATTTTTTTTTATTAGTTTCTGCCTTGAGGGGAAGAATCTGTAGAAGTTACAACTGCCCCCCTTTCCCCTGCCTACCTGTTCCCACCCTGTATAATTTTCTCTTTTTTGGAGAAAATTGGGGGTTGGGAAAAAGTAGGGATGAGGCCAGTTTTATGGTTTTTAAATAAAGTTTTTGTTCTCTATATTTGCCTTTTGTATTCTAGAAAAAGGAGGTGGGAGGGAGGAGGCATATAACTGGAACCTTGTCCTAGCTGGGATGATCATTACTAAGGGTCCCCATTACTGTGTAACTATATTTTATGGTGAGATGGTTCATCTTATTAATCCTCCCTGTCCCTACTTCCTCCCTTCCACCAGAGTCAGATACATATCTCTACCCTATCCACCCACCCGTTGGAACATTATTTTGAACATACATGAAAAAACATGTGCAGTGGAAGAAAACTAGGCAATGATACTGACCCTTGGATCCTCCTTTCCCCAGGAGAATTGAGAATCGGCTTGTTGACTGTTTACAGGAAGAGGCAAAGCCAGCCTTCCCTTTCCCATGCTTGCCTTTGGTTGCGTTCTTGTTTAGAAGAAATAGCTGTTGTTCTTTGGGGGGAGGAGGGAAGGAAAGTGCAGGTGCTAATAATAGAGACCTTCGACCGTCTCATATCCCTGAGGAACCTCGATTCAAGGTTTTCCCCTGGCTTAAGTGTTTTTCTGTGTGTGTTGCTGTCTCGATGATGGAGGTGAGAGCTGAAGGAGAACAGCTTAGTTACTTCCTATCTTTCCATCCCTGCACCCCTTCCTTTTTCACCTGTCCCCTGTAAGTGCCTTTTGTGATGGGGGAGGGGGGTGCCTAGGGTTACTCAGAGAGACGGCAGATAGAGATGTTCTCGCCCACGCGGCTCTCTCCTCCACCCCACCCTGGGGTGAGTCATTTCCTCAAAGTCTTGATTGGCTAATGAGGGAGTCCCAGGTTATTTTATTGGTTGGGACAGCTGGACATGCAGCAGCCACGGGCTCGTAGCGTGACCAGCCTGGGAACTGCTACTGAAACAGATACGGAAATAGAGATAAAATAGACAGAAATCCCACTGAGCCTACAAATCCTGAAAAGGGAGTTTGGGGGAGAGTGACAGAGAGGAGGGAGACCCTTAGAGATTCCACCAGTCTTATTAGGACTGAGTCCTAACTCTGCTCTGGGCAACAGAGACAGGCAGATTTGTGCATTAAATAGTACACAATGATAATACACTTAAATGATAAGTAAAAATAAGCAAATAAATAAAACACAATAATAAATTTGGGGCTAGTAGGTGGGGTAGAGGAGGTGATTCTATGACTCGGGATCAGGAGGGTTGAGACTGGATGTGAGGGGTCCTTCTTGTGGGGTTCCCAAAAATCCCACAGGTCAGGCGAAAAGTGGGTGTGGAGTGGGAAGAGAGGGGAACCGAAGAACAAAACAGGAACCAAAACTGTACACTCAGGAGTCAGTGGGCAGTTGGGATTAGGACTCAGTTTTTGTGATTACCACATTTCTCTGGGTCTCTTTTGCACTTATTTCTCTTTCCTATAGGGGAAGGGAAGGGAATAGGCATTTATATAGCATCTACTGTGTGCCTAGCACAGTGCTAAGTGCTTTTGCAAATATGATTCATTTGATCCTCACAACCCCGTGAGGTAGGTGCTGTGGGATGGGGCAGGGGGCAAGTGAACAGGGATGTAGGGTGGGAGAGCAGCATCTCACTCGGATTTCCCACAGCTGTCCTCAGTGTATGACCTCATTCTTCCAGGCAACAAAGATTTTTTTGAGCTCCTGCTCTGGGCAAGGTGCTCAAGGAGAAATCAAGGAGCAGACAAAGGCTGTGAGTCTACTCTGGGCAACCTGGACTCTTTCCCTTTTCCCATCAACTGCAATATATCTAGATCTGCATTGGAGACATTCCCTTCCTACTCCTGTCTGATATGTAATTGGGCAACATAGAAGAGCCTGGGCTCCTCCCAGGGCTTTCTTGGGTTCCCCCTGAAGGTGTCCATCCTGGAAAAGAGAAGACTAAGGAGGTAGGAAGAGAGAACATGGTGTGAAGATAGGGGTCAGCTAGGTAATATTCCATTCTTTGGCTGTGATTCCGCAGGTCCTCCACCCCTACAGGCCTGAGGAAAGGAGAATAAAAGTAAGAGTGGTAGTTCTGGTCATATGTCCTGCCTTGCAGTCTGCTTCAGCAGCCTCCTAAATGGTCTCTGGGGTTCAAATCTCTTCCCTTTCCCATTGATCCCTCACAAAATACCAAAATGATATTTCTTGAGCACAGGTCTGATCAGATCCTCCTGCCCAGTAAACTGTTGGCTCACCATTCTCTCTAGAATCAAATGCAGACACTCCTCTATGGCAGGTCACTAATTGGCTCCAGCTGACCTTTCCAGGCTCATTACTCTCCTTTAAGCACCCTATGGTACAGTCACACACATTCATCTCCCATCTCCAAGCATTTGCATCAGCTGCTCCCCTTGCCGCCTTACCACTGTCACCTACAATTCTTTGTTTCTTTCAAAGCTTAGCTCTAATGCCACCTCCTCCATGAGGTCTTCCCTGATCCTGGAAGCTGCTCGTGCATCCTCCAGAAAATTACTTTGAATGAAGTTTTTTTGTTTGTTTGTTTGTTTTGGTGAAGCAATTGGGGTTAAGTGACTTGCCCAGAGTCACACAGCTAGTGAGTGTTATGTGTCTGAGGCCAGATTTGAACTCAGGTCCTCCTAACTTTGAATGAATTTTAAATACATTTGTGCATAGAGATAGCATGGGGTGTGGTAGACAAAAGAGACCTCTTTAGTCAAGAAGACTTGGGTTCAGGTCCTTCCTCTGGCTGTATGACTGTGGTCCCAGGCACCTCTCTAAGACTCTAAATTGTGGAGTATAAGCCAATCTTCATCTGTACAGGGGGTTTCCTCATTGGGGATTTCCAATGCCAATGTAATCACAGGTCTGGTTAAACAACAACTTTCTTGTATACTCTACTTTGCTTCACTTGTCCAGTCTGATCTCAACTCCCCTCCCAGTATAAATTCATCATCTCTAATCTCACCATCATGTGACTAATTTAAGCCTTAATTGCCACCACCTCCCACAGCCTCTTCCCCACTTCTGATTGGAGAGTAGAGTACCATACTCCTCCCAATGCCTTCCTCTAGAGAGGGGAGAAACTGAGCTCTCAGATAACTCCACTTTGCATCTGCTGCCCTTTCTAGTTTCAACTCAGTGAAACAAGTTACCTCCTGGTCTTCCCTGCCCCCACTCTCATTTCCTGCCTCCTTTTGTAATGTCTCTTTTTTTGGATTGTAAGTTTGTTGAGGGTAGAGATTTTCTTTTTATTAATTTGTATCCCTGTGCTTGGCAGAGTACCTGGCACATAGTAGGTGCTTAATAAATGTTTATTGGATTGGATTGGATTAGATGCATGTTGTCTCCGGATAGAATGTAAGCTTCTTGAGGGCAGGTAAGCCTTTATTCCCAGTGCCTAGCTTAGTGCGTACACTTGTATGTATGGTGGTGATGTAGTGTAATGGATAGATAGCTGGCCTTGAAGACAAAAGACCTAGATTTATGTTCAGCTTCTGACATTGTCAGTATGACTCTGTGCCAGTCACTTAGTCTCTCAATGTCCTAGGCAGTTCTAAGACCATAAATTGCTGAGAAAATGCCAACCTGCAGGGATAGAGGGAGTTCCATATGCTAGTGAAATCACAGGTCCAATTCCTGGCAGGTACTTACCAAATGTTGATGATCTCAATAACTAAGGGACAAATAATTATGCCATATAACTGCCCCAATGCCAACTGGCAGGTAATCCGGTTCGTCAGAGTCATACAAAACGCTGGCCAGCCTCCTAAAGTTTTCTAAGAAACTATAATCACTGACGTTAATCTGGTTGAAAATACTTTCAATGACATTTTCATCCATTTTCCTTCAGTTTCTGCAGAAAGAATCTAGAGTTGAGACAAAAGATCCAGTGATATGAGACCTTAGGATAATAAACACCTCACGAGTTGGAGGGGACTGCAGACCATCAAGCCCAGCCTTATGCCTGAACAGGAATCTCTGTGACTTCTCCAGCATCATCACTTGAGGTTCATAGGATCATGGATCCAGAGCTAGGAGGGACCTTACTGCCCCTCTAGTCCAGTCCCCTCACTCGACAAATGAGGAAGCTGATGCCCTGTGCGGTTAAGTGACTTCCCCAAGGTCACCCAGCCAGTAAGTGGCATAGTCAGGATTCAAACTCAGGTCTCATGACTCCAGCTTCAGTGATCTTCCACTGCAATCACCCTATCTCACAAGTAGCCTGCCATTTTTGGACAGCTCTTATTGTTAGGAAAGCTGTCCTTATGTGGAGCCAATGTTGGCCTCTCGGCAGCTTTTACCCACTGCTCCTGGTTCTGTTCTCTTCTGTTCAGCAAAGCAAATCTAATTTACCTTTTAAATCAATGGTGTCAAACTCAAATAGACAATCCCCATGGAAAGATCCCTGCAAGCTGCATATTGACTTAGTTTTAAAATGCAACATTATCTGTGTTTTATTGTATTTTTATTTATTTTGTTAAATATTTCCCACTTACGTTCTAATCTGGCACAACAGTGCAGATGCTGTCTTTGACACCTCTGTTCTCCATGACAACCATTCAAATGTTTGATAGCTTGACCTTCTCCCTGTACCTCACCTCCAGTATTCTTCAGGCTAAATATCCTTTTCTCCTTCCATGATTCTTCATGGTAAAATTTTTGAGTGGCCTTACCATGCTGCCTTTTTCTGGATGCTTCCTGGCTTGTCAATATCCTTCCTCAAATGTGACACCCCCAAATGGACCTAGTATTCCACATGTGGTATGACCAGGGCTGAGCACAATAGAACTATTACCTCTCATTCGGTATACTATACTTCTATTAATTAATGTTATTATATTATTACTCTATATAATAACTGTCTATTAGATAATGATATTATTAAGTATAGTATCACAATATTATTATATATACTGTTATTAATATTAGCCTGGGATCAAATAAGATGTGTTTTTGTTGGTTGCAGTATTGTTGTAGCCAAATCACCCACATTAAGTTTTCAATTCCCTGGTAACCCCCAGTTTGTTTATTTGTTTTTAAATGAATTGTTGCCTAACCATTTGGTGCTTGCACATT